CTAGATATAGGGTAGTCTGGTATATATAAGATGGTGACAACGTGACGGGACAATGTGTAGGTAGTGAATAATTGAACTGCAGTCAGAGAGTGTGTAATTGAACTCGAGCACGTGAGACGTTCGTTGAGAATTATAGCGCGACTGTTGAAATTGTGTGTATCGTAAAGTTTAGTCGGAAAGAATTTACGGAAAAATTAACTAACGACTGGAGGCGTAACAATATATGTATCTGCTCCTATTGCTCATTCGGTTCACTTGAAGGAAAGGTACCAAACATACAAATGACTTTTAAGTCTCCACAAGGTAGCCAACCATGTTCTTTGCATTTAACCTTGTTAAGAAGTTCGAGACTTTCTTGGGTCAACAATCCGGTTATACAACGTTTCCATATTTTTTGTGTGAATGGGACAGCAGAACACGAAATCAGCACTGGATAAAGAAGCATGGGCCACGCAGAGTTAGCCTGATATCAGGATCAAAAACATTGAACGTAAAAGTTTCGTTGACACAAAGAAAGTCCTATTACTTCCACTTCACGTAAAACTGGGCTTGATAAAGCAGTTTGTAAAGGTCTTGGACAAAGATGGCGACTATTTCAAGTATCTATGTGAGCAATTCCCAGCTCTTTTAGAGGCGAAACTTAAAAGTAGGTTTTTGTGGGTCCTCAGATTAGGATATTGACTTCGAGTGAACAGTTTGAAAGGACAATGAGGAAAGTTGAAAAAGAAACGTGGATTGTTTTTAAAGATGTTATTGACAAATTTTTAGGAAACAACATGCAAACAAATTACGAAAATGTTGTCAGTAACATGCTCGATAAATTCAAAGAGTTGGGTTGTAATATAAGTTTGAAAGTTCATTTTTTACATTCACATATTGACTATTTCGATGAAAATATCAGTACCGTCAGCGAAAAACAAAGGGAAAGATTTCATAAATACATCAAGGAAATGGAGAGGAGGTGTAAGGGATGGTGGAATATCAGCATGATGGCTGATTACTACTGGTCATTGAAACGAAATGCTCCAGATGCAATATATGAAAGAAAGATCGCAACAGGTAGTTTGGGACTAAAATACGAAAATTTCATACACACACACACACAATTAGGATGAATGACATCATAGTTCTTATATTTTCTTCAGTTTTTTTGTATTTTTGTTAACAAACATAATAATAATAAATGTTCATTGTGGTAAACAAAATAATAATTTGATCTAAGTAAGAGCTTTTGTTTCTCCCAGATTGATAAAAAAAAGTCTTACGTGATAAAAAATCTGCGTTGCTGTATTATGGAAAACCCGTTATTAAAACCAAAACCACTTTTATGAAGTTTAAGTTCGCAAGCCTATGTAACCTGAGCGCTTTCGAAAATTAGACTTCTCTTTGTCAGGGGTAGACTGTGAATATGTAAAACAGTTGTATGCTTACTTATACATCATTTGAAAGTGAAATCAGATAAATGTTTCAGAGCTTATAAAAAAAAATAAAAGCATTATTTAATTTCAGTAGTGCATATAGGTATATAAAAAAAAATTCAATCCTAGTAATAAATGCTCCTGAAGAAGCTATAAAGGAAAAGTGTGTCCAATTAAACAAAAATAACAAATTTGGTGTTATAAGGATGTTTATTACTAATATTAAGAAGAAGAGCATTGTTCGTAATAAAATTACTCCACATCCCCTCACTTATTGTTGGGTGTATGTTTTTATAGCAAAGCCACATCGGGCTATTTGCTGTGTCTACTAACGGGAATGAAATCCCTGATTTTAGCATTGTAAATCCGTAGTCTTACCGCTGTCCCACCGGAAAAACACTTATTGTTGGAACATGTTTTAATGTTAGGAGAGTTTTCTGGATTATTTGGTTAAAAAACAGTTCGAAATCCAGTCCAAGTAAATAAAAAAAAATAGTTTACTCTTCTACAACATTTCTTCAAGATACGATCACTTTGACATAAGTTGTAGGCTAACGTTTCAACAGAAATACAAAACTTACAGGATTTCCTCACTAATATATCGAGTATAGGCGCGATAACTTTCACTGAAATAAACTACTCACTCACTATTCAATAACTTTTATTGCTTCACTTGACCCACAAATTAATAATTTACCCTTGTTTCTACGTATTACACGAAGCTTCTAGATTCTAAACAATCTTGAAATTTCTAGATATTATAAACATCATGATTAGTTACAACAATATGTATGATGTTTAGAAATGCCTCTTACATGCCACAGTGAACTTCTGTTCTGAATGTTACTAACATTATGAAAACAATTGTATTAGTTATCGTTATATTTGTTATACCCTTTAAAGATTTATAAATAGCCTTATATCGTGATTCTTTAAAAAAATACATTTTAAAGTCACGAAATTTAGTTTAATTCTGTGTAATTTTCCGTGACTTCACATTCTTTCTTTTGAAAAAAAAAGAAAGAAGTATTACATAAATTGAACAAATATTACCAAGGAAAACAGTTTCATTTCAAACGTACTTAAAGGACGTTTAGAATTCTGTTGGTATTAATCTGTTATTGTTATTAGATATATAACTATAGAAAAATCACGAATAATGTTAACTTTAAGGATCTCTAATCTTATACAGTACATGACTTGTATATACTGTTGCGTCAGCGAGTCACATGACTACAGTGACGCAACGTTTCTAGAACTATCATGTACTTTGGCGAATGTTCTACTTCTTACTAGATGTAGGGTAGGCTGGTATATATAAGAGGGGACAACGTGACGCGGTAATGTAATGTGTGTGCAGATAGATAGTGAGTAATTGATCTGCGGTCTGAGTATTATTGACGTTCGTTGCCATAGCGTTTCTTTAGCGCGATTGTTGAAGTTGAGTGTATCGGTTAAGTTATATTCGGAAAGAATAAACCAGTTTTATTAAGTAAAGACTTGTGTCCTTAAGTTTCGTCGGTACGAAGTTACGGAAAATCAATTAGAAAACGGAGACGTAACAATACTATTGGGATAGTCACATAATAATGATAATACATCAGAATTGTTTTATTCCCATTCATGAATAAATTAAGGACGTTTGTATTGGTAGCTAAAGAGTAGTATAAACATATCTAACTATATAATTAGGTACAAATCATAATTTTCATCATTAAAAATTGTAGAACTTTGTACCATAATACCAAGATCCACTTATTTATTGAGCATAAAAATGTTGAAATATAAGACCTAGTGTGGAGTGTGAAAGAATTAAACAAATGTCCTGTTAGCCACATTTATTAAAGAAAGTCAAGAAAAGGAAAAAGGAAATCAAATTTATTGGCTTTGTTGGAATTTTTAAATTACTTTATCGAACACATTTTTGCTTCTTTTCTTTTAACACACCCACCCATTCACCTACCTATATTGAACAATGTTAGATAATTTCTAATGATGGTAATTGTGAATGTTCCCTTCCCAAATTACTATCATTGAATTAATTAAAAAACTTAGTTCTAGTTTGCCAAATTAATTAAAAGTACTGTCAGAAGAATTATTGACGTATCAGAATAAACATGAATATTAATTTGAATACTACTAGTGGAAATCATTTTTAAGATAGATTTTTTCTATCTAAAAAACATAAGTATAGTTGTTTTTAAAGACAGTAGTTTTTCATATTTATCGATACAACGTTATATATAAATTTATAATTAAATATTCTGAAACTGATAGCGAAAATATTTTTCAGAACACTAATTGAAGCATTGAAAATTACGCATTAAATTTATTGTTATTTTTATATAAATACCGATAATATAAATAAGGTCCCTTAAAATAGATAACAAAATAGCAACATGCAGCATACTCTTTGGACACATCAGCTTTAAAAATTCGTAGGAGGATTGAGCTAGAGGGTAGTATTTTGGATTTTTTTGTGTGTATGATATCAGGAGTACAGCAATTGTACTGTATACGCTTATTTAATTTTATTAGAGTAGAACTTTGACTGAAATAATTAGTTCTTGTTGTATTTATTTCAGTTATACTTAGTAATAGTATTAAGTAATATACCTATAACTTATGTTATATTTATAACTTAAGTTATTTTTCAATTATATGTAATTTTTATGTTGTACTTGTACTATAGTTATAGATTAAAAATTATATTTAATATAAAATGTTTTGTATGCTAATCTACGCTTAATTCACACTTTAGTGTACGTTCTTTTCAAATTTCGGATCAAATATCTCGCATCTACTACGATTATTATTAATATTATAAACATAAGTTGCCATTTAGTAATACACATAATTAGTAAAATTGGACAATGATCGATCTCAAGTTAGTTACTCTGTGAGGCAGGGTATAAAATTGTTAATTACCGATAAATAGTTTGTAATATAGACTGTTGGTACTATGTTTGGGACAATATTCTTCTTCAGTTCAGGTATTTTTGGCTAACCAATGAATCTGTAAATTAAAAAGTTCCATTTTGATGATTATGTGATACTACCAAATAAATGTATATATAACAATGTTTACAAATGCTTAAAACAATATCAAAGAAAATTGGGAAGTAATATATGCATGTGTGTGTATTACAAAAAGCATGAATCTCGTCTACCAGTACTAATAAAACTAGAGGGGAAGAGACCATAATATGCAGTCTTGGAGATGAAATGTATTTAAAAATAAGATTTGTTCCAACTAAAAGCTGTTTTATAATCCTAGACATTGAAAAATAGTTATGTTGGTACCTCTTAAACAAAAAAAAAAAAGAAAAAATGTAAGATTTCCTATGTGACAAGAAGGTCATGTAGTAACATGAAGTTATCATTTAGAGTTGTGCTTCTGTTAAGTTATTATTAACTGAGACTTGGTAATGATTTGGTAAAAACATAAATTTAAAAATTAAACAGCTTCTTTTATGAGTTCATGTAGTTCAACTAGGTAGGTATAATGAATTAATAATACATAAAATCCCAAACCTATTGAGTGTCTGCACAATGGTCATGTATTAGTTTTGTTTGACTACATAAATGATGGTTTGTTGTTATAAATGTGTGTGTGTACGTATGTACACACATACAACAGCCACATATATCCTCTCATAACTTGTTTTTGCCGTTATACATACTACTGTAGACTGAGTTATGTATTGGTTACATAACTAAGTGACTTTAAAATTTAGCAATACATAAAATTTCAAAATGGTTCTTTGTATAGCCAAAATTATGGATTTCCAAAATAATGTTCATATAATTGTTTTAATTTGATTATATACATGATGGTCATGTTATGTATCTAGGTGTTAAATGTAAGATCTCGTGAGCTAATTGCTGGCTAGTTTAATATATATATGTTAGTTATATGTGTTTGCTATCATAGCTAATGAATAAAAATAATTGATCTTAGCATTATCTATTTATTTAGTTTGTTTTTTCTTAAATCGACATACTTTTACCTTTCTTTATGTTCTCAAACATAACAGATTTTTCAAAGAATGGAAACTTACATGAAGTATCACATGTTACAATAGTGTAGTATCTGTTTCAGATCTTAAACCCTGATGAATCTTGATTTTATTTTGTCTCCATAATAGGTATCGAGTATTGAAAATCTAAGTATGTCACCTGTGATTCGCTATCTTATACTTGTTTCATTATGACATTTTAAATTTAATATAATAATAAGTTTTTAAGTTTCACAGTTGACAGATTTACATTTTGATGAAATTATTGTAGTCATTAATTTGGTAATGTCCATGCTTACATATCCAATCCAATGGCTCAGGAGGTTTATCATTCTTGAAGCTTCCAGTATTTTCTTAACAAGTGCCCCCCCCCCCCACCCTACTGGCTTAGCAGTAAGTCTGAGGGCTTATAACTAAAAAATTTGGATTTGATACCTGTGTAGGTAAAGCACAGATAACCTATTGTGTAACTTTGTGCGTAATAACCAACAATATCTTAACAGGCTCATTAGTACAAATTGAGAAAAAGTAGAATTTAGTATCCCAGCCATCTCATCAGAAATGAGGCTTCTCCTTTCTGTCTCAAAGGCTGTACTTCCATCCTAACATTATGCTAACCCTTAACATGCTTAAGAAATTCTTTCTGTTAACTTTTACATTTTTAGTTAACCTTTTTTTTTTTCTATGTTGTTTCTGATTTCCTAATTTCCTGTTTGACCAATTCTCTTGATCTTCTGTGATCCTCTAAGTCCACCATCATGAAATCAATTTAAACTTCTTTAATTTTTTCTTGTATTATTTGTGAGCCAACTTTGAGTCTTTTACTTGCAGTTAACCCTTATTTTATAAATAAGGAATGTGTCTATTTTGAATATTAAAAAAATATTTTAAAATATTTTCTGCATTTGATCAGTATCTTCAGTTAATCCAGTTACTCGGTTCACAATAGAAATTTTAGCTTTTTGTCAGTTTTAACCGAAATCTCACTATTCCCGATCTTCCTATGCAATAAAACATCAAACCTAACTGAACAATGATCACTTTCACCCAGAGGATCTCCAACCTATCAACTATTTCTATAGTAGAAGTTAACAGTAAATCCAAAATATCATTGTTCCTTGTTGGTTTCGTAACCACTTGGTGATGAAAACGATCCTGAACAGTTTCTATTGGTTTAACTTTAACATTTATCAATCTATATGCCTGAAATTATAATCCCCATAACTATGATCTCATTTAATAACTGAAATCTTAATCTCACTAAAAAGTTTCTCGTTAATTTCATCAGTTTTATCTGGTAGCCTGTAACATATTCCAACTAAAAGCCTTCTTCCATGTATCCACTAACAGACTGTACATCTTATTTTTTCTGCATTTTTTTATCCTATCCTCCAACACTGTCTAATCCTAGTCTAAAGCTACCTTTACAGCTGAGTTAATAATTCTTGCAAACAAGACAGCCCCTACCATATTTAAATGTAAACCAAATATTCCAAAAAAAGCTTCCTTTTCCCATTGGACTGATCCAACAAGTCCAACCAGCAAATCTGTTCATCCTAGCATATTAACCTAAGATTACCATTCAACCCTAATGACTTACTTATATTATTCCCACAAATAAGTCAGGCAGTATCCCTGAAAGAATTAAGTTATTATGGCCCTTTTCTTTAAATGCCTTTATCAACTCCTCTGTACTTATCAGCTCTTCTGATCTATCTTTCCCTTTATCTTTAACTCCTATGTACACTACAAAGATTGCATCACAACTATCACCCTTTACAATATCACTTGCTCTTTCAGTTATGCTCTCTACCTTTGTCCATGGATAGTATAATATTTTCCTTCCTATTTACCCCACAGACTATCCTGTCTACTTGCTATACTAAATAATCATTTATAACTATAACCTCAAGTTTTTCATTATCATCCCTATCTATCCCTGTTGTTTTTCTTTCATCCCATAGTTCTTCATCTGCTGAAACCAAAATCTGAAATCCGTCATTTAATAAAACCTGCTCCATTACACTTAAATCCCCTGCTTCTAGCTATGGGACTATCTCTTAACTTCTTGGAAGTCATTGTTAGCTACCGTATCTCTTGCATATATGTTTTTCTTTAAATCCTGTTGCCATTTCCCACAGTTTACATTTCTCTTTATCTATTCCCTCTACTCTATTTAGGATAACCTTCAATTTCTCCTCCAACCAACAAACTCTACAAACAGATTGCAATTATTCATCACCACCAAAATCCTTAAAAGTGCTTGCCAGTCCTAGTTTACAAATAAAAAAAACAAAAAAACTACAAACTGCCCACTTTAAGGAATCTGTCTGAGTAAATCTTTCGAAGAAATACAACTTGTTTGCAAGCACCAAAAGAGGTTGTCTTCTTGGAAGTCTTGAGGCATGCTCCCCCAGAATTATTTTTAATTCAGTGAAGCAAAATGATGTCATCTGATGCATTTCATGGATCAATATTATTTTAAATTTGATCTGGCTCCTGCTAGTCACACAACCACAATTCATTATACAAATCTCCTTATTTTGAGTTAGCATCTTTGTTTTAATGTTAAATATCATATTATAAACTGCTTTTGATATGTACATAAGTAAATCTTATGGTTAATGTTTAGGTCTACTGGCTCTGGACTTGCTTAATGTGTTTTCTTGCCCCGTTTTTGCCAATATTCAAAAACGACTGGCCCATTTTTCTCTATCTTCCATTTCTATCCAATTTTTCTAGATACCTGGTCATGTCGGTATTTGTGGGAACAAGCTTGCTGACACCGCAGCTAAGTCTGTCTGCTCTGGCACTGTCACTGCCTTGCCTGTTTCGTTTATGGACTATAGTCCTGTGATCAAGGCACGGCCTCGCACCAGTTGGCAGTTGATTTGGGAAGAGCAGCTTCATAAACTGCTTTTCCAGATTAAATCTACTGTTGGTGTTTGGCCATCGTGTTTCCTTGAGGATCAAAGGGAGGAAGTTATCTTAGCTAGGCTACGCATTGGTCAAAGTTTTTAACTTGTCATTTTCTTCTATGTGGGACTGATTCACCAATGTTTGACCTTTGTGACACTCAAGTCACAATTGCTCACCTTTTACTTTCGTGCCGTTGCTATGAATGCAAGTGGCTGCACCATTTTAGAGATATTTTATCTTGTGGTTTACCGCTAACATTGGATAGTGTCATTGGCAGTGGTGACACTCTCCAGTTTGACTTAGTTTTTAGATTTTTGTGGGCCCTAGGTCGTTTTTAATTCAATTTGAGTTGGTGTTTTTATCTGATTTTTGGACATTGCTCAGATTTTAACTTATTTCGTTTTACCTTATCATAGAATTTTACTTTTTGTTTTTATTTTTATACTGGTTGTTTGGTGCAAATAGCTAAGTTGCTTTGTGCCAGTAAATGCTAAAAACCAAACAAACAACTAATTTTTAGGTTGCTTTACAACTTTTTTTTTTTCAGAATTGATGCATAACTCATTAAGGGGGAAGCTGTTGTGATTTCACTTTTATACTCATACCTTACCATGAATCAAAACAAAGTGTTAAGTAAAGCAGAAGATATTGCAGATGAGGTATGGTAATCTTTTATTGTTTATGTGAAAAATGTTCTTTTTTTCTTTAATTAATATAATTTAATTTAGCAAAACTATATTTTAATAATTTCAGAATTTATTTGTAATGATTCTAAAATAATTTCAACCATAAATGTTGTGATCAAATACCTAAAGAAAAAAAAAATTTAAATCCCATATGCTTTTAGATGCTAGTATGAATTGTACATTTTAAAAAAATTTTAGTTTTGTATCTTACAACAAAAATATTAACTTTTTGAAACTGCTCAAAATTTTTCTAAATGAAAAATTATTTAAATGTTTATGTAAATTTATAAATTGGTGTAGCCCTCTGTCATGGTTGTGGGATTAGTATGTTTTCTTCACCTTTTTGTTTCCTATGAAAAACCTAAAAAATTTGTTTTATTATTTTGAGGTTAGTGTGGTAACTCTGACCATGTACATGTTTTGATATAATTATAGTGGATTTCAACTAAAGAGTGGTATTCTATACCTGAAGCACAGAAATGGGATTCATACTTTCTAAATCTTTTGAAATTTAAATGTCTAAATGAAGGTTCTTGTTTTTTTTACTACACCATTTTCCTTAAAAAAACAAAAAAACAACTCTTTCTGTCAAGAAATGATACATGTTGATCCCATGGATTACATTGCAAATCATCTTATTTTAAGGGCAGTTGCACATAAGATATGAACCAGTAGGTAACTTAAATGCAGGAGCATGAGTTTGTAAAATAGGATTTGTGTATTAAAGGCAGTGAAGATAGTGACTGAAATTGTATAGGTTATTTCAGCTGTTATGAGGTCATAATTATTGGTGGTTTTAATTTCAGGCATATAGATTGGGAAATGTTAGTCAAACAATGAAGGATAAAGGTTTTTAGAAACTGTTCAAGATGGTTTTGTTTGTGTTATGAACGAAAGGGATCTTAGTGTAGTGGTTGATCGGTCTCTTAAGTAATCCAGTGTGATGTTGTTAGTGGTAGGGCAAACAGAATTTTAGGTTGTATCTAGAAGAATTGAATACGAGTCTAAAGAGGTTATACTTTCACTGTGTAGGTCACTGGTTAGGCTACATTTGGAGTATTGTGTTCAGTTTTGGGCTCCATACCTTAGGAAGGACATTGAATTATTGAAAAGGGTTCAGTGTAGGACCACTAGAACGGAGGGGGTTGTCATACAAGAAGAGGTTAAGATCTCTGAAATTGTTTTCTCTTGAAAAAAGAAGAG